AAAACTGCAAAGACTGTAAAGCTGAATATAGATTTTGTTTAGATTTCTACAGCTTGATTTTCCATATCCTACCATACTGATTTGGAGATCAACTGATCTCTTAATCATCCAACTCCATCTTTCCCTGATCCAATGCACATGCTTACATTAAAACACAACTGCAAAAACCATAAATCTCTCTTTTCAAAATCAAATATCAAACTGCTATTGCATCCTCTACTTGGAATTGTTCTTGGGAATAGAGCAGTCGATACAAAAGCTAACAAAAGTCCCATCCTGCAATAAAAATTAAAGCTACAAAAACAAAAATCAAGCATGACTGCTTTTATGATCTGCCTGTATTTTTCTTCTCCCTACACAAGTGGTGTAAATACTTGTGGGACTTGTACCACACTTCAACTGAACTTTGTAACAGGGAAGGGAGAAGAGGTAGAAAAGATCTTTGTGCACACTGAGGTAACCGAGTGTGGTGGGGATCTCCTGGCACATTCCACATTATTAATAGCCACAGGCCATAAGGACATTAATTGTAAAACTACCAGAGAAAAGGTTTCTTCCTTTGGAAGAAAAGAAGAAGAAAGGTTATTTCCATTAGCCTTATGCACAAATAAGAATTATAATCCTAGAAATAATACTGCATCTTCTTGAGAGGAGGTCTTTCAATTGGTTTGGGAAAAAAGACAACTAATTGAAAACAGATTTAGAGAGTTATCTGCTAAGACAGGATGAAGTCCAAGAGTCCTTGATTAGGGCCACATTAGCAAATGTTTTCCCACACAGTGACATAAGAGAATTTATGTTTCCAATCCAATGCTAGCAAAAGACATATTTTGGGCAACCATTTAGAAAAGTTACCAAATACCAGGTTGTTTCTAACATATATGGTGTGGTATCAACTTTTTGCTTTTTCCTTTCCGGTCTTCTGTTCTTCCCAAAGCCACATATTACACTATCAATATTAAAAAAAAAAAAAAAAAAAACCCTTCTGAAAGAAGCAAACTAGCTTGATGTCCCTTGGTAAACAGCCACCTCTGAACCTGCCATTTTTGTACCTGTAAGTTTACTTAAGGCCAGATTGCAACATTTTATAATGAACTCACATATTTTCCAAAAAGCAGATTTGTCAAGTAGAAAATTGGAAACCAGAAGAAAATCACCAATAACTTAAATATTCCAGGAGACTTATTAAATAAAATCTAACTTCACAGTCATGTAAGCAGCAGAGATCCTCATAATGAATGGGCAGAATACACTACAGCAGATCAGGAATTATAAAACTAAATTAGAAACCCAAATTTCATTTGCTATAAAAACAAACGTCTCTTTGTTCTTCAAAAGGAAGTTGCTAAGATAATGCAATGAATCACCCTTGTGCAGTCAATTTCTGAAGCTTAATCCTTTCTATATTTCTTTTCACTAATTATATATGCATCACACATTTCAGCATTTTGTGAGAAAGTGGATATGATTAACATCTCATCTCACAGCTTCAGGAAGCTTAATTACTCAAAACTACCCCTCCCCCACAGAGTGGACATGGAGGAAAGAGCAGAAATTGCACAGCACGTTTCAGAGCTTGGCTCGTGTTTCTTGCAGTAGTTTGGGACAGGACTGGGCACTACACACACACAGAGCATCCCTGCCTGGCACTCCCTTCCCTTCATGCCTGCACTGGGTGTGCCCAGATGGTGCTGGCTGCCACCATCCCAGCTCTTAGAGCCTCGTGTTTTACATCTGCACCAAAAGCAGTGCTGACAACACACTGAGGCTTCAGCTCTTGGTGGGCAGCACTGCACTGCATCAAGGCTTTCTCTAACTCTGTGCCATGACCCCCAGTGAACAGAAGTTTGGAGGATACAAAGAAGTAGATGACCCAAACTAACCAAAGAAATTGTCATATAATACCATGCTCAGCAATAAAATGGAGAGGAGGGAGTGCTTCCTCTGTCACTCAAATGAAATCAGCAGTGCTCTGAAGAGAACAACTTGAATCTCAGAGAAAATAGTGATGTAAGGCTCTCAGCAGCCCAGTTTCCAGCAAAGAGAAAAGAATTAATAGAAACAAATATTTTTTAACTGAACATTAAAGTCAACAGAACAAAACCTGGGTCTGAGGCTGGGTATTTTGTATAAACAAGCACCACCTCTTTCTAGATGTACCTCTGTCTCACCTTTATACATGGCTAAAACCTCGAGAATTGTCCTTTTCTTTTTCACAGGGCATCTCAAGCTTGCCTGTGAGGCAAAGGAGAAAGGAATCCTGGTTGACATAATTTTCATTGTCAAGATAGATTTTTTCAAGCTGAGATTTTCAAGCTTTCAAGCCTTACAATGGAAAAAAACTATTGAAAAAAAACTATTGAGAACACAGCCACAAGTGGTTCATCTGCCCTAATTACAGTGCTTTCTCAATTTCTCACCCATCAGAGGACACATCTCACATACAAGGGGAAGGAGAATGTCTGTGACCGAGTGTGATACTCTTAACAAGGGCATTTAATTGGGACACATTTTTGCATCCCACATTAGGTGTGACTCTTCGTTATGTGATATGTTCACGGGTGACAGGAAAATTATGCCTTACATCTGCAGAGATGTGTAAATGCCTCATTAGATTTAATAATTATCTGTTAGAAGGGCAGTTCTGCAAGAAAATCTCTGTTACTGAAAAATGAAAGGGACACAAAAAAACCAACACTGCAACTGAACTGAATCACTGCTGTCCTTGCTGAATTAATTCACCTGTCCAGAAATATTTTTATAAACACATTATTAATGAATGTTACATTGTAAAAAATACATGAATGGGCTACATCACAAAAAGGTTATCAAGTAGCCCATTAAATCACACACAGACTGTATTTTCAGACTTGATTTCATTTCAGCCTGAATTTATATAGTAATTCACATATGAGAGAGGAAGAAAAAGAAGGTGGAAGAAAAAGGATGTTGCTGTGAAAAGTTACACATTAAACTTTTTAGGCACAAGTTCTTTTCCATCAAAAAACTACAAGTATCATCTTTGACAGACAAAAATCAATAGCATATGACTGATTCTCTATAGCTAAAATTATAATAATACATGAAGAAAAAATAAAACAAAAAAACATAAAACAAAAAAGCCTCAGCACCTTCCTGGATGTGGCACAAGGCACATTATCCTGACAATAAAAAGTCCTCAAGGAAAGCTATACTATCCCACTTACACTGACAATTCAGTTTTACAGCTAAATTAGGATTATTAAAAGGATTATAAATAGATATAATGATACAAATAAATAATTATAAATAAGGATTTATAGAGGATTATAAAACTTGGAGACCAAAACAAACCATTATCAACTTCTCACAACGAGGTGGTGGTGAGACAAATGAAGCACAACCTTCACAGTAGCAAACTACACATTTTGACACGTGTCATTAAACAAAAAAAAATTAACCAGTTTATTATATTTAACATATTTACAAAATAGTACAAATTAAAGTACTGTAACTCCATTATTGCATGACAAAGAAACAACTCCATACAGGCAAAAGCAGCACATGAAAGAGACGCTCCAGAATATTTGGAAGTCTTTGGTACTCAAAATATAGTTTAAGATGCAGCATTAACTCAATCAATACAGGGCATTAAACACAGACAATGATATGTAGATTTACACCACAAAAGTAATGTTTACCTATGGCTTTCATTCTTCTCAAAGGATGACTACTGGACTCAAGATTTCCTTAAAAGCTTAACAACATTTTTAGGATGGAGAGTACTCAAAATGATTCTAAACCCAAGCTGTTGAAAATGATTGATATATTTTTCAACTCGCACTGAATTTAACTGCCTCTTCTCAGAACTACATGACAGTTAAGCACTAAATACTTCACAGACCTAGAGCCTATTCCTCTACCCCTTAAGCAGGCAAAACTGGGAAAGAATCATCTTTGTCTACTTAAGGGAATATAGGATTATGCTCACAATAGACAATCAAACCGCATGGCAAAACATGATCAAAGACTGCATACTCTAGCCTACACTGCTGTACACATCATTTACAAAATTTTTATGTATCATCTACATATTTACAAATGCTCTCAATTATTCCATCAAGTAATGTACTCAACACAATCACAGTTTACATAATTTTGAGGTAAATCCTTGAAAAATTAGAGCATCAGCAGAATTTAATCTGCAAGGCTGAATCTCTCAAGTCAAGTTTCTAAGGAGAAGCTCCTCTCTTTCCTCTGGTCACACTGCACTGCCTGCCAGGTGCAGCAGATGGGTAAAATGGTTGCAGAGATGAATGGGGATTTTGTGAATTCTCTGTGTTGGGCTTGACTCTTCTTATTGGCCAGGAAAGGCCAGAAAGAAGCAAGGAATCCTGGGGGAAGCCAAAAAGAAACCCAAATACATACTAGCAGATTCTGCTCTGTGGACAAATAGTGGAGATTATGTTGCTTGTGGAGTGGGAAAACACTGCAATGTTAAATTGTGCAGTGTCAGTGCACATTAATTGCAAGATGCCAACAGAAAAAGGAAACAGGAAAAAGCAAAAGAGCAGATGTGGGACAGGATGAATTAACTTCATTTAGGAGCTTGATCTTCTTTCAAGTTTTCAAGCCAGGTGTGACATTACTTAAATATTTAAAACTGCACATCTGAAGACATCACCCACATTTATTTTAGCTTATAACTACATTTCTGCCTCTTCATAATTACATTAAACACTGCCTCACCAAGCAGTGGACATCACTTTGCAAGGCCTGATCTTTCATGCTGGCTAACCTAGACACATTTGGGAATGTTGAGAACACTGCAACAAGACAACTCCCTCATTGAACTGCCATTAACATCCAGGGCAACAAGAAAGGAAAGGGCAGAAAGAAGTTTGCAAGTTCCATTTGCATTCATAAGAGGCAACAGAAGCTCCTGTCTAACTAGGGAAAGACAGTACTGAGTTGAAAGCATCAAAGTTCATCCAAATAAACCAAGAGGTTAAGATAAACACTTTTGTTCTTGAGAAATGATATCATCTTGCATTAGTATTTTCTCCATCAGAATAAGTCTGCAGTATTTATTTAATCTTATTGCTGAAAACTCATCTTGTCATGACTGTCCCCCAGTTGCACTTTTATTGTCAGATGCTTAAGTGAAAAAACTTCACATAAAAAAGCTTGAGATGACAATAAAAGGATCACACAATTCCACTTTGTGCATGTTTTTTAAAGCAATACCACATCACTACACCTTTTTAGAATGTCTCTAAACAGATTGTTAGAAGATTTAGGCAGGACCTCAAAGTAGCCAGTTAAGTAATTACATATGCATGAATGCTACTCATATTTACTACATACTTCCTTCAGAATGATTTTGTGAGTGTAAAATGGTTTGTAAGTTGATAAGTAGTTTGATGTCTCAAGACAAGTCTACTGACTATACTTTAAGCCCACTGGAATGATTGAAATCTGTTTTCTGCATGCAGTGATAAGGAATAATAAGCCTTCATCTCCTTGTACCATCACAGATGTTAGCTAGAAGAGAAATGTTAAATATTCAGCCATTGTTAGTACTCATGGTGTAGTACAGGGTGAAATGAAAAGGAACAAAGAATTTCATTTTCCAGAGATCTTCTGGGAAGGTGAGGTTGGACTTTGTACTGATCCCCAGTGATGGAAAACTGGCAGCTTGTTTCTTTGCACAGCTCTGGGTAAGGTAATCATCTGTCAGCCCAAACTTCTGTATAAATCCCAACATTAAGACTGGAAGGTTCAGACAGGCAAAAATGTTGCTGTTTAAATACTTAACAAGACCAATAACATATTGAAGATATAAATTTTTATAATCCCTGAAACTGCTGGTCAGCAGAGGAGAGTTTTTAGTTCATTCATCCTCTTCAACATAAGTTGATGGAAACCAGCCCACCTAAAAAGGAGGAAAGCAGAACAAAATAATACATGAGATCCACAGAGGTTTTGTTTAATGGCTGAGCTAGGCACAACAAGGATGGGTCTGTTCAGTAAATATATTAATAAGATTACAAAGATAAACTTGGCTGACCTGACAGAAAGGAAAAGAATAACTTAAGATATAACAGTAACTTGCAGATATGAAAATTTGGAGACCAACATCCTCTATGTCACTTTTTCCCCCCAAAAAATCTAAAACACATTTGCCAAGATTGGAAGTCTAAAAGCTCAGAAAAATGCCAGGAGTGGTAGTAGTTTTACCACAGGCAGGACACTACTATTTTTTGAATGAGGAGTTAAAATTTAAGAGGCTCCAGCCAGGTCCAGGGAATCCTCTTATAAAGAACACTGACTGATCTGATTGCTTTACACGGAGTTGAATTCCACTGCACTAAAACAGGTGTGACACATGACACAATTTGACAGCAGTCTAGTGTCCTACACTTCAGAAGTTATAAAGTTATCTACATTCTGAAATTAATGATGTGCCAAATAAGGTTTATGTAAGACACAGTGATGCAATGTCACATATTTCTTGTATCATGTATTTGCTTTAGATTTCTTCAGACTTCTTTACACCTGAAGTCAATTGAACATTCATGAAAGAACTCAAAACCAAACCTAGAGCATGACTAGAAGGGGTGACTGCAGAATCTTTAGACTACCTTATATCGCCATAGGTGAGTTTATAATGTCGAGTCCAGGCTATGAAAGCTACCAAGGAATGCTAGCATGTAACAGGGCATCCTTTAGAATGTGGGCAGCTGCATTGCAATGAGCTGTTCAGCTTTCTTCACACGTAAAATGTATACACAGCACGATGGGTATTTCTTCTGCTTCCCTATTTCTTCTGGTCTAATTGCCTATTTAATAAGCTTTAACCATTTAACATAACCAAGCTCATGTACACAATAAAAATTGCATAAAGCAGTAATTCTGGACATTGACTTTAACTGCACTTGCAACTATCATTTCCAGCTTCCAGACAATTTACATTCTTCCACCTCACATTCCTTGACCCTGCATCTCAGCACTTTAGAAATGGCAACAGCAGTCTCAAATGCTTCTGACTAATCTGCATTATAAGGCAGTAAACTAAGACTGTAATAGTAAACCCTTTATAGGTCAAAACTGAAACTTCCCTTCCAAGAGTTGGAGCAGGGTGTAAAGTGAGTTCATAAAAATCCCTGCTAAATATGTCACTTCATCTGGGCCACATTCGCAGAGATCAAAGCAGCAGCTTTCTATAAAAAGGTGGTTGATTCCATGCATTGTAGTCTGGCAGAAAGATGTGGGAAATCATTCTGTGGTAAAGTGCTAAATAGAGTTGCACAGCACCAAGAACCTGACCCCAAATATCTGTGTGCAAAACGCTTCAAGAAAGGTCAACTGTAGCAGAGCTATTAATCCTGGTTATTTTCCAACCATATAACCTTGCCAAAATATTCAACCTGGTAGGTCACATTAAATAGCCAATAATTTAGATGCTGGGAAAGCTACCTGGCTAGAGTTCTGCCTCGCTCCTATGAAACACAGGTGAGAACATGTTCCGTCTTGTGAATTTAAATACAAAATGTAGGAACACTTTTTTTTTCTTTTTCTTTTTTTTAACAAAATCACTGTCAGTGAAGGGAGAAAGAAATAGGAAAAGAAAAAAAAAATTGTCTTACCCTTCCATTTACTTCACCTCTCCACCAGCCATTGGCACTCATCTTGGTATAAATTTTGACAACATCCCCTTTGAGTAAGGACAGTTCTCTCATGTCTCGTGCACAGAAGTCATACCTGGCTATGGCAATGCCTATCACCTTCGGGCTCAGCACTGAAAGGAAGCAGATGGTGATATCATCAGGGCTGGTAAACAAAGGCTACCAACCTACTGCAAATAGAAATATTGTACAATATAAAACAAGGGTTCCACAGCAACAGACACTGACATTCATTTTATGCAAAACGTCTGCACTAAAAAGATCAGGAAGATTTAAATATAGGGGAATGGTCTAAAAGTTGAAGGCATTTTTTGCAATTTTTTTAACAGTCCTCTTAATTTTTAGAAGAAAAATCAAACTAGATGAGCCATAAATAAAATATTCCCAACTCTGATATTGCTAAATACATTTGCAATTATTTTATTCTTGTGCTTCATAGTAAAACTTGCTGCCAGTTATATGCATCAACATATTTTACAGGTCACTAATTTCTTTCCAAAAGAATTATTAGCATTTACAGTTGATTTAACTTTAGACCTCTAATGAAGCAAAACAAACAGAATAAGGTGCTGTTCTTTCAAAAAACAGCTCCCAAGTTAAATATTAATGCACTTAAAACTGGAAGCAAACATCAGCATGAAGCAAAAAGGTACAGACTTTCTACAGGAAATTTCCATGGATCGTTTGTCACAATCTGCATTAATATTGACTGATGTAAATCTATTCTTTTCAGGAGTTTATTCTGTAAATCACCAATGATTTTTTTCTATGAAATTAAAGTTCAATGGAATTAACACTTTAAAGTTTTAAGGTACATCAATATAGAAGAATTTTACCAATGTAAAGCCCAGATATTTTAAACAATAAAAAGCTGCTAAGAATTTTTAAAAAGCAAAGGTGCAAAGAGCTTCAATTAAAAAACCAACTCCTTTTTCCAAATCATTTTATAGGAAATTATGTTTCCAACGCTGATGTAGAATATCCAAACTTGCAAAAGAAATCCTCAATGATTTTTAGTGTGAGGACAATGACAGGAGAGTGGGCATGGCCTAACACATAAAACACCTTTGACTTGAGCATTTTAAAAATAACAGATACTACTCCATGGCATTTTGTAGTTGCATTACTTGGCCATGGCATTTTTCAGCCTTTTTTACCATTAATGTCACTGTTTTCCTATGTAAAAGAAAATGCAAATTTCCTATGTAAACTCTTCCTTTAAGAAGAGTTCAGGAGCACAGGCAAGCTTCTTTTGAAAAGATTTCAGAAGAATTCATATGATCATAATGGATGACTTGATATCATATACATACAATCATATCTGTCCTCAAACCCCTTCATATTTTATAGAAATGCCCAATCTTCATTAGAAAATGCCTTTAAGATTCTAGTTTGGCAATGCCCTCAACAATGTAATACTAAGAATTCATATCTATCTGCCTTTAATTTAAATCAGGAACCCAAAACACGGAAAATGAGCTGAGAAATCCTAACAGTTTCAGTTCTGCTTGTGTTTAAGTTTTCTACTCACTGCACTGGAATAGTATTAAATATCTGAAAATCATTATATGTTCAAATACTTTCAGCTTAAAGGGAAAACATAAATTATTTTAAACTAACAAGGAATACTACATTTAAAATACTATTAGATATATCACAGAAACAGAAGGTCTTAAAAACAGTTTTGACAACAGATAATGTCCTAGTTTATATCACATCACATCACTAAAATTCAGTCTAGCATTCCTGACTGCTTATGTAGGGTATGCTTATCAGACACTTGATAAATTACATAAAAGATGCCATACAGCAGAGAATCAGCCTCTCAATTTATTGCTATATTGATGTTGCAAAAATCTAGGTGACATATTAAACACATCAAAGCTCAAATATGTTTTCTTCCCCTATTAGCCAGTGAGATGTAGATGCTACTTGTTTAGATCCTGACATGAATGTAAGGTCCTATACCTTATCAGCATTGCAGTAATCAATTTTACAGGGAAAGAGCACATCATGGGAACCAATTGTTTTGGAGAAAGAAAGAAAAAGAGCAGTTATTGACTGGAGGGTCAGTAACCATTCACAGGCATGCAGCAATATCACTGGCAGATTTGGAGAAGCATTGCAGGATGCAAGGAGGGATTCTGGGAAGCAGGGTATAATTTCAGAGTCTAGAAAAAGGATAAAGGGGCAAAGAAAAACTACATGAAGCAAAGATGAACAACTTTGGGAAAGTGGGGAAGAAAAGAACTAAGAAGGCAAGAAATGCATAGAGGAATAATAAAGATGGAAAATAGCAAGGAAAATTAGGATAGAGAAGAAAGAGGAGCACATCTGGGGGAAAGGAGGACTTTTAACTCTTTTTCAAGTCACAAAGCAGAGAGGAAAAGGACAAAGAAGCAAGAGAAATCAAAACCATCTATCTTCAAAAGTCTTGAGGCAGTAAGTAGCAGAATTTAGATTAATTTAGAATCCAAGATCCATATTTTCAAATAAAAGTGAAGCTCATGATAGAAAATATATAAAAGGAAGCCAGATGAGTGATGGAATACAGGAAAATGACAGTGCTAATTTTGGAAAAACATATTAACCATATCTCTCTGCTGACACAGTCACAAAAACAACTTGACTAGAAACTATCAACCCTGAATTCCCAATTAGTGCTGTCCCAGGATAAATAAAACTTGAGGGAAGTCAACACATGGAAAGGACACCTGTACAGATGGGACGAGAAGGAACACTGAGTGAAGAACAGAAAGAGGAAAACTACAGGAAGAATGCAGAGAGAGAATGGGATTAACAGCATAGATGGATGGAAAGAAAGGGCCCAACAGGTGCATGAATGTGAATGAGAAATTAAAGAGGGGAGGAAGAAAAAGTATTAAAAAAGAAAATAAGCTGTTGAGAAAGCAGTAATAAATAAACCTTGTGTAATAGAAGGGAGACACTCAGAGAACTAACTGGAAATAGAGTGAGAAATCCAAAGGAGGTGAATAAAAAGCACATGTGTGCATGAGAACATGCTTTTACTTAATGCAGCCTTTCCTTCTGCAAACAGAAGATGATGACTACAGGAACTGTAATCAGCTTTGATTTACACTGGAGTATGTTGGACATTAACAGTGAAATAGATGTGCTGCAAATGAATTGTAATACTAGTCTGAGCCACTGATGATGCATTCGGGGTGCAAACAACAGAGGTTCCCTGTGATCACAGCAGGCTGCTCTAGCTCACGTGCTCGAATTCCATGAAGGTCAATGCAGTATTATTAAAGCTGTGAGTTGTTTCTCTCTCCTTGTGCTCTGGCCTCCTCATAAATCTGCAGCCATTGCCCTGGGGGTTGCTCCTGTGTATTAGTTTCCATGCACCTTGAAGCCATGTACATTTACTTGTACAATTACTGTTTCACCAAACCTCAGTGCTGTTATCCAGGCACAGGCAGCACCTTCAGTATGCTCAGCAGTCAGCTTAACCTTCTCCTGTTACCAGCTTCCACATCAGCAGAACTAAGCCAGCTCTGAAGATACGTTTAAAAAATACTTAAAATACTTATTTTATGATACTACATCTTCTAATGTAGGCAAATTATTGGGCTGTTTTTATAAAGAAGGTTTACTACAAACACCTGAAGCAATGCAGCTCAGCACTCAGAATGTAAAGGGTAGATAAGCTTAATTAAGCACTGCAGATCAATATTTGCCTTTAATATTTTGTACTTGAGTAATGAAATACTTAAAACTGGCATATCGTGATATGCAAGACATTGAATTGATACCAATTGTCATAGTTATTATTGAATTTTCTGATACAGAAGTTTTTTCATATGGAAAAAAAGGGATGTCATTATAATTTGTTGAAACCACGTATGGGAATATATGGGAACGTGTGATAGGATTAAAGTAACTGAGTCTTGATTGCTGTTCTACCACTGTAGGTCACTTCACAATTTTGTTCTCATGGAACAGATACCAGTTTCAGTAAGAATGGAATTTACAGTCAAGTACTGGGCAGTTGAATGCAAGATGTCCACTCCTATCCCTGCCCAAAAGGACAAAAGCTCACAGTATTTACCTTGAGCAAAGAGCTAGAACTTAACTCCTTCATGCCGTTTCAAATCAGGTGAGTGATCAGGGGGTCCAGCTGAGTGTTGTCACCACAGGGCAAACAGCTACACCAAAATGGCTTTCTGCTCATCTTTTCTACAGAGGCAGCCCTTTATAAAAGCAAATGTCAACTGGAAGGGCATCTTCTAGCTTGGATTCTCAGTATTGTTGTGACTACTGAAAGGAAGTATCTGCCCCAAAAATATCCATAGGTAAGGGCACAGAAATGGAAGAAACAACTGTGGGGCAAAGCATCCAAGTGTAGCCTAAGACATGGAGATTGAAATCCCTGGGGTGAATCAAGAGAGGGATCATCAGAGCTGGTCTCAGCCAAAGCAAGCACAGTAACCATTCCACTACTGATCTGACACCTGTGTCCTTTTCCCCTCAGGAAACTATGGAAAGCCCCAAGAATCCTTCCCAGAGTACTAAATAATTTGGACAACTTCTGTGGGGCAGGTGTAAAACACACTGCCCACTGAGATCTGGATGACTTCACTGCATGTGTGCATGCTGGACACGTCCCTTCCCCCGTGCAAAGCCAGCCCCAATCTGCTCTGCACAGGCAGTGTCCCCCACCCCAGTACACAAAGGCAGGCCAGAGTAACGAGAGCAAATGCTGAGATCTCCACATCAGCAGCTCCTTCCATGTGCTCCTCAAAGGCTTTCACCTTTCTACTGGCAAAATTGTTCTTCAGCTGTCCAGTGGTGCAGTTCACCTCTTTGCAGACCAGATCTTAGGGATCAGAGCAAGTCATACCCATACTGATGCACTGACTGAGACTACCAATGGCACTACTTTTAGCATTTTTATGCAGTCTCTTAGTTTGAAATGATTGCATCTATTAAAGCCAGAGATGGTTAAATGGAAATAAAGAAAACAATATTTAGAAAACAGATGGGCAAAATTAATTAACAATGTTAATGCAGAATTTGAAGAAAGCATTCTCAACAAAAAAAACTACTGTATTCTAAGATGCTACTGCACTATGGTTTGCTGCAGGGATGGGACGAATTTATTATTTACCAACAAGCAGTGATATTTCCATGTTTGTGCATTTGGACAAATGCATTAAAATATACAGCTCATAGATGTCAACTGCATAGCAAATCAACAGTCAAGTGCTCACTAATGGAATCTGCTGCAACTATTGAGCTTTGCAACACCTATTCAAACTGCTTATTGCAATAAGCAGTAATAGTTCAAAAGTTTAAGAGTTTGATTTTTGTTACACTCCCAGAATAACAAGTAATAACTCTGTTTTTGGAGTCAGAGAAGAGCTGAAGTATTAGATTCGTCCCTTCCCTCACTTGCTGCACACAGAAACAACAGAAGCAAATTTAGAAGAAATATAAAAGCAGTAAAGCAGTACCTGACCAGAAAGGAGTGGAGGAAGGGGGAACAAAGCTGTAGTCTGGAGGAGTTACAAAAGAAAACCCACAGAACAAAGAAGGGGCTTAGAGGAAAAAAAAAGAGAAAAAGAGAAAAGCAAAAGAACATTGAAATATTGGCATAAGATTTAAATAATAGTTTTTTAACTATATAATTCATTGATAATAAGGAAACTAAGGTTCCCTACTAAGGATGTCTGCAAGGAAATTGACTGTAATAACTAAAAAATTTGGCTCTATGATTTAATTTTTAACAATTGCATTTTTTCAAAGAGTAAAGTAGGAAAAAGTCACCCATTTAGGGTTTCAGAGAAGTAAATTGTACTGTAGCCTCTTGCAAATATTTTCAGATTTAACAAAAGCTTTTTTAATTCTTTGTGAGCCCCACTTCTTACTATTACAAAAGCAAGAACTCATACATACACAAATCCTCTCAAGCCCAGCAACACTAGTCACATGCCCTTAATTAGGATACAGTTTAAGTTGACCTGGCGTCAACTCCATATTATGGCATGAGAAAAAAGTATGTATACTGCCCTGTTAATCATTAACATCAATAGGAATTCCACAGCTAAACTACATCCTCTAAAGCCCAAAGACTACTGCTCACATTTGCAGTTCCCCCAACTTGCAAAAAACCCCTTGAGCAAGCAAAAAAAGTTTGAGCTTGGCCTAGACAGAACCAGCACTTCATCCTAAGCCCCTACAGCAGCTTCCCTGGGTGAAAGCCACAGGTGCTCTTGTCAACAAAACTAGGGGCAATGTAGTTTTAAATGCAAAAATGAGATGGAATTAACTAGAATGGCTTCAAGTGAAACTACAGTTTATTGACATGTTCTCACATTTTGTCCCTCTTTGGAAGAGGCAATAAAGATATATAGTGTGCATGTATAATAAAGTTGGGATCTTTGCTCCTAGCTGTGATTTGGAAAGGTATATCCATCTCAATGGGATAAATGATAATGCAGCCTCCAAATTATAGCTAATAATATCTGTAATTACTGAACAAGAATTTTCCTTCAAAAAGTAGCAGGGTTATATTTATCACTTACAGCTACTTCTCAGAATTTATTCTTCTGACTACCCATGAAACACAATAATTTTGCTTCAAAATGGTACTTGCAGGAATGATGACTAGAACAATTTTATTCAAGAATCCATGGTGGAGGTAATGGTACAGTTCTGTGCATCTTACCTGGGTGACAATGGATACATTTGTGACAAGGAAACTACAAGCATAAATAAAATAAACAGGACTGATATGGTATTTTAACATTCAAAAACCTGGGTTTAGAAATTAAAAAAAATCCCCCACACAACAGCATTTTAGGTAAGTGTCTCACAGGATAAGAAAAGCATGCTCCAGGGCCTCTTAGCACCATTGTGAAGGATCAGAAGGGAGTTTCCAGAGTCTCTCTCCACCTCTGACACTGAATGGACTATCTGGGATGCACGAGGGGCTCCTTTATACTGGAGACAGTAACCCCAAGTGACAGCTCTGTGGGGAATTGTGCTACACAAACCCAAAGGGCCACTGGAATCAAAAGCAGTGCCCATTCTTAGAGGCAAATACCTGATTTTATTCCTCCAGAAGCACAATGGCAGAGTGGAACAGCAGCCCACAAGAATACAGCCAGGTTAGGTGCTGTATGGGGGCTGGCTGGTCCTTAACTGAGCAGACTTTATCCTGACTTTTCTCTCTCATATAGCTGGAGGTTTGGTTTTATGTGTCAAATTCTGGGCAAGTCAACCTGTGCAGGCAAGGAAATCCTAGCAGGCTTCTAGAGATAACTGATGTGTTTTGATGATAGGGTGTTGGTGTTGGCTTCTAAGCAGAAAGGCTGAATTCTTCTGATTCCCTAAGGGTTGGGATGATATTTGTTTTGTTTTACTTTACTAACAGATACCTTTACACAGTTAATGCACTAACTGTAAGTAGGATGTCACACACCTACTCCTAGTTAACTGACAAAGAAAAATATTACTCAAGTAGGACCTGGCTTCATGATTTGGGTTACTTTAAAATCTGAATTTCATGAAGATTCAAATTTCTCAATATGATTGTGCTCTGCATCAGCAAATCAGAATAAAGTGCCATTATTCTACTCCACAGAGTAATGTCCACTTTTTGCCTTTATTTCATTAACTGGCTGATCATTCCTGTAACCTAATGTAAGAATTAGTATTTTTCTCTGTAGCAAAACAAAACTTGATCATACTGTGTGTGTCCAGAAAAGCTTTAGACTGAAAAATTAGATGAAAGAATATACCATTTACCAAAAAATCTTCCCAATTAACTTGAATTTCTATATTGACAAAAGTAAATATCTGACAACTTTTACAGCCACATTAAAAGTGTACAATGAATATCAGAACAACACGGGTGACTTCTGCAAGACAAGGAGACTGAAGAGTACAGTTCTAACCCAAGTGGGAAGCCAAAAACTGCAAAGCCAAATTAACTATCCCACTAAAAGAGAGGTTTTAATTCTAAAAAATTTTTCTAAAAATCAAGTAAATGCTGAAGCAAGAATCAAATTCCCTGAAAACTTAAGAAGTTACAGTGTGACTTATTATGATTCATATTAGAAATTACAAGTTAAATGAAATACCAGTTGTTTTTCTTTTCCCATATGGGTAAATGAAAACATAACAATTACAAAAAAAATTAACATACTTTTTTCTCATTCTTTTCTGGGAAGTAAAGTCAATTCAGTATTGTCATTCAATTTCACAACAGCTCAAAGACCTTGGCAGCAGAAAATGATATAACTCTGTCAAAGTCTGCAATGGTTCAACTGATGTTTTTTAGAAATACTTTTCCCACTTACTCTGTCAGTTTTATATCCTAAAGATCAGCAGTTTTGAAAACAAAAAGCTGATGTCTTTTCAAAAGATAGCTTCATTAAAAAATCCAGGCATGTGAATAGTATAGAGAAAAATACTGCATTAAACCCAAATTCTTCTTCAAATCAGCTTCAAACTGTCAAAGTGCATTGCATTCACTACCTTCAGCCCCGTGCTGAGTAGGTGCAAAATTGAAAAAATAAGTGCCCCTCTCCCTCTCTTCAGCTGCATTGCCTGGCTTCCTTCCAACAACTGTTCTTCCTGCACTTGGATTATGTGGGGAGAGAAAAAAAACAGCTGTGTGCTGGTCCTCACTGTGAGTAAACTCCATATCCAACTGCTGTCCCACATGACTTATCTGCTTCCTCTACTAAACCAAACCTAAAGCAGCCTAAAGCTTCCCAAATTCTTTCTAAATTCAGCCCAGCAGGGTTCACATATATACAGCTTTTCTCACATCAGCTTGGTACAACGAACAAGACCCACAGATGGACTGTTCATCATGGACATTTTGGTTAAACAAACAAAACAAAACAAACAAGAAAAGAAACAACAAATAAATCACCACACTCATGGGGACACACTTTACTGTCCAATCCATTTAAGGAAGTGTCATTCAGAGTCAATCTAGATAAAGCAGCAGAATTATGGAAATCTATTAGACTTTACAACTGGAGTTTGGGAACTGAAAAGTTTTTCAGGTCAGTTTGGTCAAGACAAAACCTGCAGTTTCCACCAGCATAGTTTGTAGCATCAAAGGGCTGATGGTTACTGTGGCAGACATGCATTTCCTCATCCCCGTGACTAAAATGAGAGCATCCCTCAGTCATTTCTCTTGCTCTCCCACATACTGCCTAAAAGATCTTGTAAAAGATGTTTCCTTTTGTATGATGACTGAAGTTAATGAGGAAGTATCATAAATCTTGTATCCTGTAAAGCAGGAAATGACTGGGTTCTTGCAGAGTAAGAAGTTGATGGACAGCATAGATACATTCTAACTGGCCTAAGAAAAAAAAGGAAAACAATCTGGTTCTGCTCACAGTCAGTAATAACTCAAACAAATGCAAAGTAAATCAAGCAGAACATGTCCTCTCAACAGCTGAAGCCTCACTGCTGTGCAGAGGGGCAAGGGATGAGGAAAGCACAAGAGATGGCAAAGGAAGAGAGAAGCACAGGGAGACCACAAGCTAAAGGGACAGGAAAGGACAGGGCAGAGAAATTCACCAGGAATGGGTATGAACAGCACAGAGAGGAGACAACTGACACAAGTCCTGGGAAACAGTGAAGAACAAAATGGAAAGAAGATGAATTGGGAGGTAGAGACAGTAAATGAAATACCCAGAGACACACTGGTCTCTTACAATCATGTGTCCTAAATTATCTTCACTTTAATTAGGAGAGGAAGAAACCTCTAAAGTTATAGAAATGTTATGGAACTGAGGCAAGCAAGTAAACAAAAGCTCACAAACACAGCAAATGAAAGTAACAAAGCCACCACCATCATCACAAAGACTAGACTGGTCCTTTTGGGCTTTTACAGCAGTCTTCATACTGCTAAAATCCCCATAAATTTGTTTTCCTCCTATTATCTGTTACAGTACAAAGGTGCAACCAAAGACCATAGAACAGCAAATCTAATAATTGCTCTTTGACAGTAACATTATATATTTTCCAGAGGCCAGCCATGTGGTAGGTTTTATCATTGACATTGAACTTGTCCATGCCCTAAAAATCATGCTAATTTCCACCTGAATTGTAATAGCTTAAATAAAGGACAGCATATGCATTGCAAGCCTTCTCAGTTTATTTCTAAACTTCACAACTTTTTAACTGCTATTTATATTGCACTGTAGTTCATTAACTTTCAGAAGCTTAGTAAGAGAACTCTAATGAACATTAGATATGTTATACATATATACATAAAATAGAAACGTATTTGCGTGTTTAAAAACATGCAAAAAATAATTAGGATATAGTAAATCTAAATTTTTTTTGACACATATATTTGATATTACTGAGATGCTACTTCATAGGGCTATGCTACAAGACTGATTTATTTAAATCCCCTTTTAAGGATTAGAAATTGTCACAGATATCAACACTTGTAGCTGCAAGTATGCAAATTTCTTAAGAAACTAGGCAAGATGCAGTTTAATCTCTCACCAGCATGTCTAATAGATTTTTTTAATATTGGGGAGTTTTTAAGTTTGGCAGCAAGACAAGCTTGCTAGACATGTTTATAAATCTCTTGGCAGATCTGAATCTGCTTAGCTTCAAAAAATCCTAGCTAAAAGCATTGCCATAGTAATTGGTTATGTATCAAAAATGGAAGATGAAAGTACCAAGTACCTTGTCCTTTTAATATATATACACATATGACGGTAATATATAAAAAATTATAATCCTCACCATTGCCACCTGTTCTGTTAGTCCTCTGTCCCACTGAGTTTTCAGATTCTTTGTATGGAAATTGAAGAGTAGTATCCAAACTTCGAAAACCTTCTTTGAGTGAGTGGTGCTTGTAGTATTCTACGAGTTCCTTTCAGAAAGAAAAAAACACTTTCATTGGAAATTGAAATCACAAACTGCATTCTGGTGTACAGCCAGTGACAGTTTTTTATGCAAGTAACCTTTTTTAATAATATATCCCATAGACAATGCTTATTTCTTAAAATATAAAGTACCCTAAAAGCTGACAACTTTCATACTACCACTTTAAAAAATTTAAACCAAACAAACAAACAAAGACACCCCAAAAACCAGCCAAGTAAAATCTTTTTGTAGAGTCAACAGCTGCTGCTCCTCTAAGTCAGGCTGAGGATGTCTTTGCTTTTCTGGAATCAAGTAGAAGGCAAGGTCAGCTTCTTGTTAAGGATGCAGAAATAAAATGTCTCTGCTTTCTCAAATCTCTTTTGCAATGATAAATGGTGTTTATCTACAAATGTATTTGTAAATACACAGATCTGAAATAAAGCACATGGCTTGTAAGTTAACAGCAACTTCATGTGCAGATACTCAGACAATATAAAAACCTCCAAGGCAGGGCAGGCTTGGGGGGTGTCAGACAGTGCACACTGACTGAAAAATCCAGCATTTCACATTCTGCTTGTACCCAATCCAGAAATTTCATCATCTCTCTCTGTGTGTGCATCTACATAGGCCTTCAGAGCTACACAGGAATATTTTACACATATATATATATGCAAAAACTCATATATGTAAATATAAAAGAATAACTGAAATAGTTTATGCAACCAAGAAGATAAGTTACTCGAATTCTTACTCTAAAGAAGACAACACCCATCAAAATTCCGTCACCTCATGCTATTCTTCTGCAATCTTCAATCCCTGCCACTGTCTGTTACATTTGAATTAGCCCTAGAAATGTCAATATCACATAGTTTGTACACAGAGCTAGAATAGGACTAAAAGTGACCAGACAATTCAAAGCAAATGTACTTCAGTTGATCCATTCAAATGTGGGACTTCACCTACAGAAATGCAAGCACAAAGCAACATATTTACTGTAAACCCTTCAATCCATTCCACTTATATTTAGATTTCCAAAATGAGAGTTGACCACGTCAAGCTTAGGTCAAAATTAGGAGATCCTGCTGCGTTTAATCATTTCCTTCTAGGCAAAGAAAAATGCCCAACAAAAAACAAAACAAGCAAACGAATCAAAACAAAACAAAAAAAAAATCCCAGCACCACAAAAAGCTACCAAAATGTTTAGCCTATAATAGCCTACATCAGTGATACTAAGAACTCTCTGGGTTTTGCTGTTTGATATCAGCACATCATACAAACTAGAATGTCAGCAACGAAATTTACTCCCATATCATCATTGAATATCCAGACATTCAAATTACCAAGGCAATACTGTGTGTGATTTGTAAGTAAGCAGCATTCAAAGCAAGATATCTGGATAAATGGAAAATAATTAGTAGGAAACTTTTGTTACCTTTTTACACAACCTAAGTCTGTAAGAATTGTGTTGTTTGGTAAAAGTAACTAGAATTCCAAATGGACAGATATTGTTTGTTGGCAAAATAAGCTAAATGCTTTTAAAGTGAGGAAAAAGGAAAAATCACTTCATGACACAGATTCAGTTACTTTTAAAGCTTAGATTTTTATTCCATTCTTCCATGAAAACAGTTGACTGACAACTGGACCTTAAAACATGAATTGCACCAACCACAGTAGCAGGCTTACAAACAGATGAGTTAGGTAAGCAGTCCATGCCAGCAGGGATGGGGCTCCTCAGGAGCTGTCACATTACCCTGATCCACAGCAGCAGCCAAACTGACCTTTCACTGCACCCTGCTTTACACACTCAGCACATTTTAATTACTCTGCTGAAAGATTTTCAAATGTACTATGAAAAGTAGACAAAAGAGCTCTTCTACTTCTTTTCCCTCCAAAGCAGGACAAAACGCTGTGTCACTGCAGATCACCACTTAACGTTTCCATGGATGCTGCCTTTGTCTCTCTTCTGCTCCCACTTCTACCCAGACTACTTTTGTTCCTCTTTTCTTCCAGATACTTTTTCTTTTTTATTTCAGTTACTTTTTCTCTTGCATCTACACAGAACAAAGCAGTTGTTCCACAGCACGTACAAACACTACCACTTGTGTATTTAACTCTCAAGGGCAGAATTCATAATACCCTAAACTTGTGTTAGAAAATAATTTTTTCCTACTTGAATGTTAGCAAGGCTAAGTTGGTAGCAGTGAGGTCCCTACACTAGAAATTTCTTCCATCCTCTCAATTCTGTGATGCAATGTATATTCTTTTTTCTCATTTTTCACCCAACTTCGTCCTTTATTTATATTTCTGCTCTACTTTGAAACCTGCACCAGTGCATTAAACTGCATGACTGCCATAAGAAGACCTGGCAGCATGGGACTCCAGCTGCTGTGCTTTGCCAAGATCAGTTTCCAATGAACCATTTGTAGCATTCACAGACTAAGCAGCCACCTCCTCGTGTATGTGAGCAGCACCATGATTTCTGCTGCTAAACAACGAAAAAATCTCAACAATGAAAAGATCTCAGGGTCCCCAGCTCTAAAACTAAACAATTCACTGGCTTGTAAGTGTGAAATAAAGATACAAGTGCAAAAACAGCTTAGTACATTCTTTGTCAAGAAATTTATGTTCTTCCTGCTCTAATGAGCACTCACAGACTATCATTTAATCTCTCTCCACCTCTAGGATGCTCTTGTTTTACAGAGTATCAGTGGTTAAACTAAAATTATTTCTAAGGCTTCCTGGTTTTAAAGCTTCTCCCTGCTCTTATTTTGTATTATCCTTCATTTTTATTTAGTGTTTTCACATACTTGAGTATGTATGCAGGAAGGCTGTTGCATAAATTTTAATCCAATTGATTCCTAAAAACCAAGGTTTCCAAAGACATCAAATTCTCCTTTCCAGATTCAGCCTAACTCCACAGTGGGCTGATGCATGGGATTCAAATTCCTCCTCTCTTCCACTTCACTACAATGGACACAGTCCAGTCATAGCAATAAATATGTAGTTTTAAGCACATAAAATCATCACTTAGAGCTAAAACCATAAATATAAAAAATTATCCTATTAGCAGGAGTGGACACAATTCAAATCTTTCATTCTCATAGCTTTCTGGAATTTCACCAACCAAAGTAGCTTTCTCTAACAGAAACAGCTACAAAGAAGATCTCACACTGTTAAAAAGCTCATCAATGCTTACCATTAAATTTTTAAATTTTCTATTTTCTGCAATGTGGAAAAAGCCATCTCTTGTTAAAATCTTGATGTGTTTCACTTCGTTATTGTACCTGTGGGCAATGAATAACTTATGAATATAAATGTGGTTTTAATCAGACACAATCAATAATTACCAGAGGGCATGCCCCTAGAACGCCACACACATAAATTCTTAAGACAAAATGTATATCTGTGCCAAAACAAAGTTGACATCTAATCAACCAAAAATATTTATTAAAGTAAAGCTAAAGAAGTAATCTGTAATCAGAAAAAAAGGCACAGCTAACTGCTTATTCTAACTGGGAATTCCCATGTACTTCCTGCTTTTAAATTCATATTGATAAAACGACATGAAAGTGAACAATAATTTGTCCCCACAAAATGTATAAACCCACATTTTACTGAATGGTCTGAGATGCAAAGGGCTTTGAGTTCTCACCAAAGTCAACGAAACAGAACACACTGTACTGCAGACAATGCTTACTTTTTTCCAAAGTACTCAACCATTATTTTTGTGGCCCCAATTGGCTACATCAGCATTGTAAAACCACTGTTTCTTTCCTTCTATAAATCCTGGGTACTTTTTGATGGCAATTTCAGTTTTCCTATATTGACTCTCCTAAAGGCTGTATATAATTACATAACAGAAACTGCAGTTATTTTCTGCATTTATTTCAATTACTAGCTACACAAAAATGAGAACAGGAAAACTTTCTTGAGGAGTTTTTATTCCACTTCCACTTACTTAATACTAATTGCATATTCTCCTGATTCTTTGGTCCTGTGCCGCACCAGGTAAGTGCTGTTTACTCTGTTAATTAGTTCACTTTCTGCCTGCAATCGTTCCATTGCTCCTGCAAACCTGTAACAAGGAAAATAAAAATTGCCTATTATTTTTTCCAAAGCTCCAAAGGTCTATTAAATATGCAGTAGAGAGTGAAAATTTTCTACATATCATGGGGACCAAAAATACATCCATTGCAACTGAATACCACTTCCAGATTTCTGAATGAAGAATAAAACATGAAAAAATTCCACAGTTGGGGGTTGCAGAGTCCTTAATTAGAAAAGTATTTGTATGCATGTTGAACACAGAATCTGCTAAGGAAAGTGCTTGAGCCCAAGCATTAGCTGAATGACTACTGGCTGGAAAAGTTCATAAAACCAACTGAATCATTTGCTGCAAGTGAAACAAACCAACAGTGCTCCAGAACCTTTGAACCTCCCTGAGTTCTAGGAAGATTTATCATAACCAAATGGAGAATCAGCCACCAGAGGTACATCAGGTCAAAAAAGACCTAATGAAAATTTGGTACTTACACAAGGAAGTATTTTATTTGGTTTCATAATTACATGTAACCTCTAAAGGCTAAAGTGCAATGGATATACTCAACATCCAGAGGAAAAAAATAAATCAGCCAAAAACATCCAAATTTGAAAAAGCTGATGCTAAGTGTTGAAAGCTAAGAGAAATAAATCACTGATTGCGCAGCCTGGCTGCATAAGCAGATTTGTATTTGTGCTCTGCCTTGTGGTTTGCATAGGACAAGAGAGGCTGTCAGCAGACACTCATTTGCAAAACCAGTTAATTGGGAAAGTTACTGAGCTTCCAGGGAAATTATGCTTATCTTGTCATTTTACAAAGGCTGTCACCATCACAGACCACCACTATGTAAAATTTCACATCAATACATCATGACCAATTAGAAAGAAGCTTTATGTAAAAAAAAAACAGTTCTTTATTAAAAATCCATAGAAGATAAAGACTAATGCCAGTAATATGCTTTCTTCTAAAAAATTATAAATAGACAAAGTGTTAGAATTCAATTCAAAATACCAATTTTACATAATAAACATTTTACTTGGCTTATTATGAAAAACCATTTGTTTAGATATGATCCTAATTTCACTAATTTCACTTTTGGCCAGTTAAGAGGAAGTCAGAACTCGTGTCTAAATGACAAAGCATAAAAGTAGTGAAAGAACACAAGTGATGCTTACTCTGCTCGCTCAGAATCACCACTTTTTTGAGTTGTGGGAAAGAGTTCACACACTTCATAAACCCCAGAGCAGCAGTGGCTGCAGTTCTGATACATCACCTTTTTCACAGAGTCACCAAGGTTGGAAGAGACCTTCAAGATTCATCTAGTCCAACCACCAACCTCACACCATAGACACCCCTAAACCACATCCCCAGGTGCCACTTGTATCTCTACAGCTGCAGTGTTGGTGAGGGTTTTTAAGGAAATGCAGAATTATTCAGGATACAAGATGTATTTAACATTATTCCTTCCTTTATTCACTCAACATGTAGCATATACTTCTATGCTTCATATTACAATAATCTCTTATTATTCTATTTCAGAAGTCTGGGACTAAGGCTGTACAGTCACAGACTTGTAAACAAAACACTAAAATCATTAAGCAATTCATTTTATCAGAAACGCTTTCAGGCAACACATGGTATTACTTTCCCAAACCATTACACAATGTCTTCTTCTGAAGCCTAAAAAGGTTAAACCAATACAATTTAAATTGTAGCAAACACAGTTGCTTTCTGTGATTCTGACACTCCTCCTTTCAGCAATTCTTGTAAGACATGACACTTACCACAGTTGTGAGGAGTAGTCTACTGGCTTAGGAACCTAGGATACCAAAAGATACAGAAAATGAGGATCAAGATTTTGTTCTAAAAAACAGAAATTAGATTGATTTAACTATCAATATCCAGGTGATCTAATTTGTCTACAAGTCTATTTTCTTTAAAGAAAGTTATAAAAAAGGACAAATATTCCAGATGATTCTGAAAGTAGTACAGAATATTTTAAGCTCTTTTCTTCTGTCACAGTTTGTTTGGGGTATTTTTACTTCATAAAACAGTTCAAAGCTTTTCTGACAGTGCCTGCATTCAAATTTCATACACAAAATAGCTCAATGCTCTGTACTGTAGAAAAGCATCACTAAAATATGCAACCAATTTACAGTAATATATAAAATTAATTTAATGTATTCAGGACCGTGTGGCCTTACGACTGTCCACTGGGAAATATGGTCTATAATCTTCAGAGAGACCTGAGGATATTCTACAACTTATATGACATCATTCATTCCTTTGGGACTTGGTAACTGTTGTACTGTAACTTGCTAAGCATGTCATTTGATTCTGAAATTAAATTTAAAAATTAAGCAAACTGCAATCAGCTGACAAAATAGATGTTATATGTACACAAACATATGCACAATGTTTATTCATGCAAAAGATGCATAGTATAGCAATTCCTATGAAAATGAGCATTTCATGTTGATCATCTCCCATTAGTGTGTGGTAACTCAGTATTACCCTATTCTTCTAAAACGAGGTATGAAAATGCACAGTGCTGAAAACTAGATTCTAGTGAAAGGTTAACACAAATTTCACACACTTATAGCTTAAGGTAATATAATCTTAGGAAAGCAAATATGTTTCGTTTTTTTTCCTTCAAGTAAAACCAATGAATGTTTTGTTTTCTGGACTCTAATAGCAAAAAAAATACAGTAACAATCTTCTCACAAGTTTTTATTCATGATATGGCACCAAAAGAGACTTCCAAAAACAAATCAAGTCAGGCAAGTATTATTATAAAGGTCTATAAACTTAAATTGATTGAAATTGCAATCAATTACAACTCCCACTATCTTGACCTCAGGTATCAATCAAGATCTTTATCAAGTCTCTAGAATTAACCTTGGAATAAACTTAAGTGTGGAATGCATTAAAGTTCTCTGTGATAAAACCAGGCTCACGTGTTTGGCTTGTGTAGCAGTAAATCTAAATAGGTATTAAATAGAAAAGAGTTTTTGAGAGAGTAAAAAGGAAACATGCATTATTCTCAAATAAAAAGGCTCTTTTCAGGGCAGCATGTGCAGTGCTGGCAGATGTGAACCCCCGAGGAGTGCAGGGCACCCCAGAGAGGCAGGTGTCACCCTGGCAGCAGCACTGAGCTTTCCTACCCCTGCAGGCACGGATGCTGCTCAGGCAGCTCTGCTTCCAACGGGGAGACCTGGCAAAAAGTTAACAGATTATAAATCTGCTGACAAACAATTCCCAAGATAAATGTTTTAGTGGATCGACCAAATGACACATTCCAAGGCCACAATTTAAAAAATTAGAAAGTTTTTACACATTGCAAAATATTCTTAAATATTTCAAATTTGTCAAGTAGTGTTAATAAACTGGAAAGGATAGAAAAATTCAAGGATGTTTTAAGTCCATCCTCCAGAGCAGTTAAATGCAGATGAGTAGCTGCTTTTGTAAATTTTGAATGGAAATACGTTCACATAACAAGTGTTGTTCATTGGCATAAAGAAGGATAAAATCAAATATTATTCCAGAAGCTCTTGGCTCGGTATCCAATGCCTCTACAGAAGTTAGAAAAATGGAGGAAAGCCAGGAAGAAACAGATATTACTCATATAGTGCATAAAATGTCTGCTGACATATACTACTCATTTTAAAGGGAAAAAATAGTTTATAGGTACATCTGTGAAAAGTCTGGAATACAGATATTCAGGAGCTCAGCAGTTTTTCATTCAATATTCATTCCTAAAGTCTTCTGATATATGGATTTTATGCTGTTTCTGGGCATTTTTATATCAGATGGTTGTAAAGACTGTAAGACTTAATAATAACAGTAAAAGTTATAGCATGTTTAAAACCCAATTGATGTTTCAGTATCTTTAACTGCATCATTTATCATAATAAGATGTTTATATTTCATCCTTCCAAGTTAACAGTGGTGAAGCATCAATTTATCTTTTTGTTCTGATCATGACACCAGTTGGTAACGTTTCATGAATAGTATTTATTCATTCTGTAAAACTGTGTTATTTTCAATATTCCTCTAAACAGCATATTTTAAATTTAGCAGAAAGCTTTACCATTAGAAAGAGACCTCTTCAACACCCAGCAGCATTTTTCCTAACTTCAGATATTTCACTGCCAGTGCTTTTAAACTAATTCCTAAAAATGCTGCTACAGCTGCAGTCAATGACACTGCACAATGACTCATGGGGGTCACTGACAGTGACACCATGGAATGGGAAATCCACCCCTGAACAATAGCAAGGGATGGGAAATTCACAAATTCTACAATAACTAAAGGGTGGAGGGATGAAAGCAAAATTCACAGAACAATTTCATCTTTATTTCAGATCTGTTCTCTCACCCAGTCTAACACAACCTGTACCTAGAAATAGTATGTGCATTCCTCTTCAAACAAAATCCTGGAAATAAAGGGTATTAAAGATGTCTAATGGTATTTTAACATATTTATACTCTCTAGGATCTCATGTATGCTTGTTCTGGAAACTAAGCCCAATAACAATAAGCCCCAAAGATATATCAAAATGCAGCTACTAAGAACTGGTTCCACCTACTTATAAAAGCCATTGAAGTGGCTTATCTTGATTGTTGTAACAAAAGCAATTCTATTAATTAGTCAAATTGTTGAGAATCAGGTTAAATTTTGTGAAAACTGCCTTAAAGCAAAGTAAGGAATAGGATTCATTACTGGGTTTATGAGTTTTTATCAATTAACCTCAACAAAGGAAGCCACTAATCTGACACAGTGTTACAGAGGGCAGAGAAGGAACAAGTGCATAGTATATTAATGCATCATCACATCTGCACATAAAACTCTTGAGTACATATTATAAAATTGTTTTTCTTATTACTTTCACAAGCTTTTATATATTGAGAAGATTCTTCTGCAAAATAAAGACAGTTAAGAACTTAAAGAAAAAAGAAAATTTATCAAGAAGTCAGAATTCAATGTTTTATATTAGTTTTACAATTTTTAAACTTACTACTTAGGCTGTAATCCCTCTCTCTAACCCAAAGTGACTGGGGAATAGATTAGAGCCACAGCACTCTCACCTTCCTGCTGGGGAAGGAAGAAAGTGCACTTTCACATAACGTGTATTTGATCTACACTCTGGAAACTCTTCAGACAGTTCCATTTGTTAATATTCCCCAAAGTTAAATCTGCTTATCAAACTTCTTTTCTTGACATGTCCTACTTACATCCAATAACCAAAAGTATTGGAACACTCTACCTTAAGCAATACTGAACCCACCATGAAAGTTTCACATCAAGGAAATATTTTTGTAAGGTAAGATTAATCTTGATGAACTAATGAACTAGGCAGTTTTCCTTTAAGGTAGCAAACAAAACTAAGCAATCGTACTTACACAAGGGCTAGGTTTTACTGCATCACTTGGGAAGAATCCAAGCTCTCCTGTTGTTAGATTTCTTCCCTAAAAAAAAAATAATTCCATTTTTGAGACATAATTGGGACTAACAGCAAATAATAATACACGCCCGCTGATTTTAGGACAATGAATATATCCAAGAGTCTTTAAAATAAAACGCTGTTCTAATAAGCATTGCTCAATATTTCTGTGGGTTTTGCTGTTTTGTGGGGGTTTTAATATAATTAAGTAATAATTATAACTGATAGATCTGAAAGCTCTGAGAGATGAGAGGCAAGAAGGGAGCTCAGAGACTGGAATGTGATTCCCAGTTCTGTCAATGTCAATGTCTGCCAGTATGTGATATCTTCATTAATGTTAATTATCTCCTTTCAAGTTACTTCCTCCTCAGCTGGCATCCTACAGAAAGCTGCCATGCTGCACCGTTGCAGATCCCCAAAATGATCACACCACCATGCAGAGGTGGTTGCAGCACCTGAGAGCCCAAACTGCAGTGGGAATGCAGAGTTAGTGATCCAACAGCCAATTCAGACATTATGTACAGCATTTCCATAAGTGATGCACCCCAATGGAAATGGACTGGCCAGGGGAATACTAACAAAATTCAAGATGACTCTCTGACTGTGATATCCTGACATGCTGTAGATGCACCCACACAACTGAGAGACCAGGGGCAGAAATGCATCCAGTGTGGCCTAAACTAAGCCTTTTCTGCAACACCACTGCTGCCCTCCCACAGTGGCAGGACCACCAATTTACTCCAGCTTCTAAGCACCAGAAGTGACCTGACCATCACAAATCTATGCATCAGCAGCTCACACAGTTCAACACCAACCAAGCTCTCCTGAAGAACACCCTAACAACATCTTTTTATTCCTAGTAATATTTGGCAGTGAACACGTGTTTCAGAGGAGAACAGAGCACATATCTTAATTCTTGAACACAGATTCATAAAATGAAGGCATCAAAATGTGTATTTAGGCAAACAAATGTTTTAATTTAATTGATTTTTTAAAAGCACATAAATACTTAACCTCCATTAAATGTAATATACTGACTGTAAATATAATGTACTCTCAGCATTTGGCAATGAGATTGAGCATGAGTACCTTACAAGTATTAAAATTTTGCAAATTACACTTCTTTTTTATTTTTGATGGCATACCTGCAACATAAAATTAGAAAGGGAAAAACCCTCATAAACACACATAAAATTTCTTCAGAGTTTCAGTTCATTTTGTTTCTGTAATACTAAATGCATAATTCTACCATAATTCCACCACAGAAAACAGAATTCAGAAAATCCAATAGAGTGGAGCTGAATGTAAAAACACAACATGGGTTTATGAAAAAAATAAAAACATTCTTTGATTGGTGCTATCCTAAGCACAATAAGTGAGTGCATCATTCTCCATAGGAGAGCACTATGCAATTTATTACAGGCAGTAGCTACCACCTTAACCAAAAATACAGAGAAGTGCAGAGGCAGCAGAAGAGAGGGAAAAGCACAAAGGCAGTATTTAAGCTAAAAGTGTTTATACCAGTGATATTTTAAAAAGTAATTATGTGCAAACAAGTGCCAGTCTTACAGATTTGAACCTGTGTTCAGCAAAGCTTCCTTACCCCCTTTCCCATCATCTGCTTGAATACAGGTTACCCTTTGAATCTGTATATTCTGTTTACTCCTGAAACAGGAATCCTTCTCAAGTATAGACCTAATTTTAAGTAGAGCTCTGAAACAGTCTGCCATTCAAGTGATACTTATTTGCAATAATAATCACACCTGAATAGCAAGTGGGACCACACTCAATAAGACCAAGCACTGAACAAAACATATTAATATCTATCAAGGTATGTTCAACTGCACTTCAGCTACAACTCAAGCACTGCTTAGTAACTTGTATTATTTACTTGATATGCTGTAAAAATAAAGAAGTTTTACCTAAACCACACATACTTACCTATTACAATCACTTGAATTTCTAAATAGTCAACTTAAAAAACCATTGTAATATTAGTCTGGTGGGTCAGCTGTAAATTACCCTAAATTATCCCCTTGAATAATTAAAGATTTTAATATAAGTTGCATTTTGTAGGCTCTTCCTTAATATCATCATTTTTAAATTACTCAGAGAAATCTGTATTAAACAATCTGTGACAAGAGAGGAAAAAAAAATTCCTGAATGACGCTAATGGAAATGACAATTTCCATTAGGATTCAAATCTATTAACGAAGCCTTCTAGGGAAAAGCGTCACACACTTTTTGGTTTCTGCTAGTTAAACACACTGAGATTCTAGCTAAATTCTTTAGCATGATAACCACAAACAACCTCTAAGACAATTTCCAGTAAATTGAGTTGACAGATGTGTACGAACATGGCAATAGAATCAGTCCCACGTGGCAGCAGTAATTTTGGCTTGTACTAATTTTATTAGTCAGATTACCTTCTAGCCAGTCCTAGGTCAAGAGCAGGTTTAAATGCTTCTCCAGATCAGAACTCTAAACCTTGCAGAACCAAGTCCTACATACACAACTATAAAGGCCAAACTGTCATTTGAAGAGATTTCTTTTCAGTGATGCAAAATACCCATACTCTACTAAGTAACTGGTTGGAGGTTTTGGAAGGGAGCTGGTTTGGGTTTTGGGTTTGGAGGGTTTCTTGGGAGGGGCTAAGGTGGTTTGGTTACACCTATTTACATATTTGTTCAATAGATAAAGTAATTCTATTATTTATTACTTCCTCCCATTAAATGTTCAGGATGATACAGTGACACAGGAAGAGTTCACTGATCTAGTCCTGAAGAGTTTGGAGAAGATTCCATCCTAACTGTAGCCAGAAAAACAAAAGCCAAAACAAACAAGAAAAGGTATGACCTAACTCATTAAATAGATCAGGCAGTTTTCATCTTATATTCATTACGTTATTATAGCTTTAAAAGAATAAACCAAGAGAATCAGGTAGATCAACACAGGAACAACAATTCAAGAAGACAGATATTTTGCACTTGTTGTTCTATTAATCTCCTGATAGCTCTATTTCCACGTATCCAATAATAAAAACAATTAAGAAAGCAATCAAGAAAAATGAGACACACTTTAATGCATTTACTGTTAAAGTGAATGCAAATCAGCATTTCCAACGTTCATAGCTCTCATTTAAGGAGAAATTTCAGTAACAAAAGTAGTGATGTGAATCACGTGACAGTAAATTTTGCCATCAATAGAATATACTTTTCCCATGTATATAAAAAATCTCTGTCCTTAACTGACTTGAGCCAGCATCAAGTAGTTTAGGTGTGGCTCTATTTTGCAAGGTTACTTCTCTCCCCTATAAAGCTAATATTCACTAAGTGGGTTTCGTCAACACAGCTTTTACTTATGCTGCGTTAGCACTGAAAATTCTAAAACTTTGCTTTTTGTGCCAAACACTCTCCTTAACTCTTATAATTTCACTAGGATTGCCACCAATGTCATGTTCTTGCAGATTTATTCACCAGGACTTTTACTTTAAGGTTGCAAGAATGAATGATTTACATCATGTAGGAACTACTGGCAATTTAAAAGCAAAATTAGTTGTATTAGACATTTATCTGGATAAGTCACAAAGAATTTTTGTTGTTGTTGTTCAAAAAGAAAAGAAGTTCGGAGACCAATATATCAATAAGAAGTTGATATCTGGAGAAACAGAATATAGCTATTTACTAAATGATACAGTACCTGCCAAAATAAGCTGTGTGCATCTCCTCTAATGAGTTCAATTGTGTCCCCAATCTGGATATGCAATGGTGGCCCATCTTGTGCTGCTGGCTGTGGGATTCCATTGTAGTTCCGAATGACTTGCATTTTTGGTAAACCTAAAAAAAAAAAAAAAAGAATTTTAAAAAGAAATATAACACAAATAAGCAGAAAAAAATCCCTAAAGCCAGAATCAATTTTTACTTAAAGACAATCTACTGATTCTGAAAACTGTGAGAGCAATCAAGCAAAGAAATATTATGTCTTTAGCAGGTACATGACTAAGGCACTAGTACTTAGTAGTATACCAGCACAACCAAATAGAAAATAATTACTTTGGAAAAACATCTCTATCCCTGTTTCTTCTTGGGGTAAAGTTGATTTCATGCCTATGGAGACTCTTCCCTGTACATGTACACCCCTGGCTCTGCATAGGGTTCAAATATTTAAGGCTATCTTTATAGTTCACTTTTTTTTAGTTTAATTTTTGTGTTATGACAGTATTTTCTGGGTACATGTAGCAAAGCCTGGATCAATTGAAGGTTTCATTTTCAAGACAAGAACTCTAGATGCACACTAGTCCTTCCACATCAGTACTGACTGCATCTGGATAATTAAAATGTGTTGGGGATTTTTTTGGATTTTTTTTTTTTAAGGGAGCAACCCACTTCTGTCTGCTTGTACAAAGAACTAAAGCACAGTTTATAACTACAGTTCAAGAATCCTCCACAGGCATGTATCAAATGGGGGGCAGACCCTGTATCTTCGGTCAGAAGATAAAACTGTGGATACTGTAACCTATGTTCTTATAAATTTAAGGGCATTTAAATAAAAAACCAAACAAACAACATTTTAAGCATTATGGGGAGCTAGTGTATTGCACTCAAAGAGTGTGCTCTGATACTACAAGAATACTTGAAAACAAGTGAAGCACCACCCTCTCCATAACAAACATATTGAAGATTCAGAGGCTTTTAGAAAAGCATTTTTGCACTCTAATTACTGTCAAGGAAAACATTTTATCACATCAGAGCTATTTTTAATTACTCTCCCTCTATCTCCAAAAAAACCTACAGAATAATTTTCTTAGTTTCAACTAACTATGGGATTTTCAAATCCATTATCCTTAAGTCGGCATATCAACTTCAAATCTTAATCAGACAGTTTTTGGTTAAGTAAGAGTTTTCTAAGAATGTATATTAATAAATGCAAGTAAGAGTGACAGGCTGCAAAGTCAAGGTTTCTGGGCTGCCATATTTAACATGTTTCTTGCTGGAAGGTCATCATTAACTTCATTCTAACAACAAAGGATCAGCAGCCCCACAAAAGACTTATTTCTGTTGCAAGATCACGACTGTAATTTAGGTGGCAAACACATATAACCATGATCTCCTCTAAATTGTATGGAACATGAAAGAGATCACCTTCAATAATTATTGCTCTTTGTATTAATTAATAAATGTTAATCCTAAGTGCTGATGAAACATTAGCAAAGTAATACCAACTCTTATGTTACTCAACCCAAATGACACCTTAACTTTTATTGTTTCTGCAAGTCATCTTGCAAACTTAAAGTGAGCAGCTAATTATTAGTAAGCCATTATTCCACTCAGGCAAATACTACACATTACTTTGTTTCCCAGCTGAAGGCTTTCATGCTTTCATATACTGATTCAGCATCAACAAATGCTCCTTGGCTCTGCATGGCAAGCAGAAGTAATGCTGCATACAAGTGCCTTCTGAAAATTGACAACTTTGTCCTAATGCAAGGAAACCTCCCTCAGAATACGAATTATACTTCTGCCTACGTGATGAACAAACTGTAAGCAGGTACTCACCTTAGAGACATACAGAGAAGTCAAAAAAACCACAAAAAATTATTCACATTCTAAAACCGTGTATTTGGTGGTTTAGTTCATCACATTTTTAGTATGAAGATATAATTAAAATCCCACCCTTGGATTGAGCTCATCAGGATATGCTCAGGAAATAATCATGTACTTTTCAATGAGATTCCTGGTGGTTTTTTAAGATACTATAGTGCTTAAGTTATTAATCCTAAACATGAATAAAAGTACTTTTTATTTCTATTCCACTGGTAATTATGATTATCAGCGTCTCTGAAAACCAAAGCAAGATAACTATGGAAAAAAAGGAGAAATTGTGCTGTGTGAACTAGCATAATTATTCAAAAGGTAACACAGAATTAATGCCTTTAAAATGTACCAAGCCCAGAATACTTGTGTATAATTCAGTATGCTTGATTCTGTACAATCCTATGGCAATTTTGATTATAAAGTTACCTTGCCAGATTTGATCTAACACCTCTTGACATCACTAGAAATAATCCTATCACTTAAATAGGATTTTGGGTTATGGCCTTAATGGATTTTATTATTTTACTTCAGAACTCGACTTAAAACTTGTTTGTTGTAATGACTACATTACCTTACTGAAACTGTGATAACTACAGTACTGATTTGCTTGCTATAGCTGGTCTCTACTATGGTGACACACAAATCTTATTTTTCTACTGTAATTTTACCACCTATCTTATCCAATTGTCTTTGGCTTATTTAGGAGTTCCTTGTGCTCAGCGTTGTCACTGCTATGAATACTCACTGCTATATAAGTGACACAATATAAGTGACTATCACCACACTCACATAAAGCAGCAGTAACAGGGGTACAAGGCCAATATTCCAGTGTACAGCAGCAATAGACAGCCATCAATGACAATGCAATGCCAATCTTTCATTCAGACACTTCCATAAGGATACTGCAAGCTAGCTTCAAGGCCATGGATAAAAAATGCATGGATAAACAAGGGAAATGATATTTTGGTGCTAATTATTTTAGCACATGTTAGATTTGACTCAGATTCTGAAATGCACTTTGTAGCTCAGAGTAAAACAACTGAAGGTAAATTCACTCTCCAACAACAGGAGTGTCTGAGTCACTGAAGGTCACATTTGTTTCAGTATCAATAACAACACACATGCACACACAGCCTGTATCAAGCAAAGATATAAAAGCAGTGAGCGCACAACTAACACAACATGTTTTGCTAGTTAGTTAGTTTGCTAGTTAAAAGGACCTATCCCTGACATATGATTTTAAACTTTTTTTAAATCAGTTTTTCCAGGAACAAAAGACTAAATGAAATATTTGAATCATCAATCAAAAACAAGTACATATTATTCTGGAATAGCTAAATTTTCATGGGTAAATGTTCTTCTCATAGAACTTGCCTTAGATCACCATTAAGCATGGAAAAAAAAATAAAGGGGGTACAGAAAACATAATAAATTGAGGAAAAGACTCAAAAAGCTCCAAATAGAATGCTTAACTTCCTTTCCAGCATGCAACTACAGATTTGATTATAGTAGCTCAGAAAGAGTTTAGCAGATAAACATTGAGCTGGTGGACATTTCAATAGGCAGAAACTGGCCAGCCCTCACCTCCTAACATATACAAAGGACAAACACAGGGATGTGATGTATCCAGACCTATCCATGATTAACACACCAACCATCTCAAACAATCTAAGAATGTAGTAAGCTTACCATAAAACAAATCTGTTTGTCCCTATTGTTCATTCCAGAATTCTATTCTCTGAGCATCTCCAATTATACTGGCTTTGGTTGGGGCAGTTTTCTCCAGCAAAGGCAGTCTGAGGCTACCTGTGGCTTCAATTTGTGCTGAAAACAGGGTTTGCTTGCACAACGTCAAGGCCTTTTCTGCCTCTTGTACCACCCTGCCAGCAGGCTGATGGTGCACAAGGAGCTGAGAGGGGACACAGCTGGGAGAGCTGGCCCCAAGTGACAAAGGGATAAGCCATTCCAAATGACATCATGCTCAGGATATAAAGTGGGGTGAAGGAGGAAGAAGGGATGTTTGGAGTGCTGGTATTTGTCCATTACAAACCATGGAGTCCTGCTTTCCTTGGGATGGCTGCACACCAGACTGGCCAAGGAACATGGTGAATGAATTCCCTCTTTTGCCCTACCTGTGTGTGCAGCTTTTGTTTCAGCTGTTAAACTGTCCTTATCTCAACCCACGAGTTTTCTCACCTTTAGCGTTTTGTTCCTGGCTGGGGTTAAACCACATCAAGAACCTTTTACTTTTCACTGTAAATTAGTTCATGGCCAACACACATCCATTTAGAAACAGGAGCCTACATAGTTCTTTTCCTTGTCTGCATTTATTTTCATACTACAGTTAAAGAGAGCAATCATACCCCTATTAACCTTCATTTTGCTAGGCTAAACGAGCCAAGTTCTTTTAGCTTCCTCTCATAAGAAACTAATTCCTCTGAGGCAGTACACCAGCTGCTTTACAGAAGTTCAGACAGCAAGATCTAGGATATTTTCCTTGTCTATCTGATATTTCATATTTAATTGGCACATGGATTTATAACAAATATACTCATTAAGAATCCCGAGGACTTGCTGTAATTCAATAATGCAGACAAAAAAAAAGTGACATTCTACAGAAACCTGAAATGCTTCAGAGTATAATTATGGATTATTTGTGACAGAAAGAGCATAGAACCTCTATGCATTAATGAGAAAAATGTGAAATATGTTATGCATTTAGAGACAGTGTCATTGGAATGTACATAGCTGCAGTACCAACAATATCTGATAACTGCATAAAACTTGTGGAAACATCTGGCACAAGAACATTACTCATTAACATGTTAAAAAGAGGGTAAAGTTGCAACAAAAAGGACAAGATCAAGATTTCATCCATGTATTATCATTAATGTTAAAAATCCCATTGGCTTCCATTAAGTCAGATTTCCACATGAGAAAGTTTTTAATGAGGAAACTTTCTAATTTAAAGATACAAAGAGCCTGGTTGTTTCCAACATTGAAATCAAAAACCAAACTTATCCAGTTATGACACCAATAAATAGCTAAAATTTACTTCATTTGAAAACCAGGAAAAAAACACAGATTCCTAGAAAAGTCTTCATAGCCAGGCTCTGGGTCAGAGAACTAACATAAATTGATGATCTAAATTGTAGCTCATGTGAAAAACAGAAAGCGTGATAGAGCCAAGATTTATAAAGTATCAATTAGGTTACATTACAGAAAAAATAAAACCTTTCATA